TATATTGAATGATTACATTTATATATCATGTCCAGAACAAGTAAATCCACAAAGAGAGAAAGAAGATTCATGCCTACATGGAGCAAGAATGAGTGGAGACTGACTGCTAAATAAAGGCCATGGGTCTTCTTTGGGTATGACAAATGTGTTTCAGTATTAGATAGCTGGATAGGCACACAACTGTGTGAATATACTAAAACTCAGTGAATTGCACTTTTAAGGAGTGACCTTGATGGTAATGTGAATTATATATCAATAAAGCTGTTATTTTTGAAAATGGCTGCCCAAATCATATACTAACACCTCTTCACAAGGGTCTGGTTGAATCACTCTGCCTGTGACAGAATAAGCTGTCAGAAAAACACACAATCTGTTCAAATTTGAAAATAATCTATGTTCCTAACAATAAATTCCTATTTCAACCAACCATAAAACCAGATCCAAAGTAGAAAGAGCAAAAAATAAAAGAGCATGCAATTCAACAATTAGCTGGAAGGTTACAGAATGAAACTAACCAAAGACTGTCTACCCAACTTTCCAATCAAATGATTACTTACTCTGCCAGTCTAAATTAAACTTTATGACTAATATAGAAAGAAACTGTTTCAAATACAGAAAATCCAACCCATTTAATATGTAATAAAGTCTTTTTTTTGGGAGGGGGTAGTTGTAGATGGACATAATTGCTTTATTTATTTGTTTGGTTTTTGTTTATTTATTTATTTATTGTGGTGCTGATGATCAAACCCAATGCCTCACACATGCCAGGCAGATGGCTCTACACTGACCCATAATCCCATCCCTGTAATAAATTCTTAATATTTATTTAAATGTAGTATAAAAATTTTAACAAATGGAGCTAACAGGAGAATTAAAGAAAAAGGCCTTCATTTTTATTACAACTTCTGTTTAATCCCACACTTTCCAGGAATATTTTTAGTAGGTTTTAGGGCACAAAATTAAAGAAATTAACTCATCAGTAAAATGAAAGGCACTGTATAAACAAATTCCTGTACTTCCACAGAAAAGATTCAAAAACCTAAAACTTGAATATTTTAGAAAACAAATAAGATTTCATCATTAGCCACAATAAGATACCAAAAGGAAAAGTCCAGGAAAATCTCATTAATTTGGCCCAATAAGGAAGACTCAGTAATTTCAAGTCTGCCTTGATTTAATTTATATTAAGAAATAATTGCTAGGGGCTGAGGTTGTGGCTCAGCAGTAGAGTGCTTGCCTGGCACATCAGGGCCCTGGGTTCAATCCTCAGCACCACATATAAATCAATAAAATAAAGGTACTGTATCCAACTACAAATATATTATATATATATATTAAAAAAGAAATAATCGCTAGGCAAAATAAAGTGCAAATAAAACTTGCTAGAGTATTATTTAAATGATTTTAAAAGTTTCACATGCAAATCACTTCTGCAAAAATAATAATTAAAACAAGTTACATGTATTCTTTAGAATCCTGTATTCTAATAGGAATAAAGTATATAAAATAGAGACTAAAATCTATTAAATCATTAATTGTTCCATCTCTCTGTTTACTTTGGCTGTGAAAAAGTAGTTCAGGAGTCAGAAAAGCTTCACAGGCAAGTCTCAGACAAAAACTTATTCATTCTACTCAAAGTCTAGCAATCTAATTTTCTGCTTTTATTTTAAAAAATGTGAACCAGGGCTGGGGATGTGGCTCAAGTGGTAGCGCGCTCGCCTGGCATGCGTGCGGCCCGGGTTCGATCCTCAGCACCACATACAAAGATGTTGTGTCCTCCAAAAAACTAAAAAAATAAATATTAAAATTCTAAAAAAAAAAAAATGTGAACCATACAATTATATTTACTTTATTTGGGGGGGCATTTACTTTATCATTATTTTCAAACAACATATTGTGAAAAATATTGCTGTCTATACTGAGAAACATAAACAGATCTTAAACAAGATCCAGCAGCATACTAAGTTTAAATACTTACTCTGCCCATTACAAAAAAAAAAAAAAAAAGATTTAAAATAAAGGACTTATGTGATTCTAAAAACTAAATAGAATATAGTCCACATCAAAATTTGAAATAAAGTACCATCGAATATTATGGCAGCAAGTGCCATACAGTTATGCACATCTAAATTTAAAAGAAACCATGGTACTCTTCTCTAAATTAAAATGTATACTATTCTCTTTTGCATCTTTAACTTAATAATGACAATATACATCAACCATTGGGAGGTTGAGGCTGAGGCAGGAGGATCCTACATTCAAGACCAGTCTTAGGAACTTAGTGAGGCCCTAAGCAACTTAGCAAGATCCTGTCTAAAATTTTTAAAAAAATAAACAAAAGGTCTGGGGATGTGTTTCAGTGGCAAAGTGCCCCTAGATTCAATCCCCAGTACCAAAAAATTAAACAAAGAAGTTAAATACTGATTTGGGTGTCTGTGGATACCTACCAGGTAGGTAGGTATTCAGTGCTGAATGAAAACTGGTGAATAAATAGCCAGTTAGACCATATTGTCCCAGCCTTGGGTTATTCAGTAAACAATGTTAATTGAAGTGAAAAGAAAAGCACTCTCAGGAAAGGCAATCTAGATGTACTTTATATATAGAAGACAGTTCAAAGAATAAACAGTAGGTCAATGATAAAGTTGTGAATCTGCTTCATGTGAGACCATCTTTATATGTAACTCTTATTTGACTGAAATAAAATCTAAAGCAAACAAAATTAAAAATCATATTTACATCAGGAAGTGATAAAATCTTTGGACAGAAGAGATACACATAGTTTTAGACATGATCGCACATTCATATAGTTTACATAAGTCATAAAAACTATATTATCACCCAATTATGGAAATAATATTCTGTATGCTATTCAGCCATTGGTATCCATGTTTGAAAATTGTTAAGAAATTTATTTTGAATGTTACTTTAGGCTTCCCTTCAGGTGAATAAAACACAAAAGTACTGCTCTTTGCAGAAGAAAACATTCTGTATTCAAAACAATTATAGCTGGTTGATCAAGTTTTCAAATATTTTTTTAATATTTACTTTTTAGGTTTTTTTTTTTTTTTTTTTTTTTCCCACAGTGGACACAATCTTTTTATTTTATTTTTATGTGGTGCTGAGGATTGAACCCAGTGCCTCATACAGTCCAGGCTAGTGTACTACCACTTGAGCCACATCCCCAACCCTCAAGTTTTCAAATATTAACAATGAGTTAAAATCAAGGCAAAAGACCTAAAAAGAACTCAAAATATTTAAATATTTTCATCACATTTAATGCCTAAGAATATCTGACATGTACGAATCACTTGTACGTTCTTAAGGAAGAGAATTATTTAGTTAATAAGAATGTTGAATGAAAGAAATCTTTGAATAACACAAGGTTTCCTTCAATAGTTTACAGTGGAACATACCTATAATCCCAGAAACTCAGGAGACTGAGGCAGGAGAATCACACGTTCAAGGATAGCCTCAGCAACTTAGCGAGGCCCTGTCTCAAAATTAAAAAAATAAAATAAAATAAAATAAAAGGTGCTGGGGATCTAATTTACTAGTGAAGTACCCCTGGGTTCGATCCCCAGTACCAATAAAAAACATGTTATCTCAAAAATGTACTTTTTTTTCCTATTGGATTAGCAAAGATTAAAAAGATTAACAAAATTGGTGTGAGCAAGGGTTTTGAGAATAGGATTCTCATGGACATTGAGGGGGACAGTTTTTACAGATAACAGCTTAGCTATATTTATAAATATTTTAAATGTACATAGGGCTGGGGATGTGGCTCAAGCGGTAGAGCGCTCACCTGGCATGCGTGCGGCCCGGGTTCAATCCTCAGAACCACATACAAACAAAGATGTTGTGTCCGCCGAGAACTAAAAAATAAATATTAAAATTCTCTCTCTCTCTCTCTCTCTCTCTCTCTCTCTCTCTCTCTCTCTCTCAAAATAAATAAATAAAGCATACCTATGATTATTGGTAAGCTTAAAAAAATAAAAATAAAAAAAAAATAAAATGTATATAATCTTTGACCTGGCAGTTAAATCCTCTATGAAGATAAGTGAATAAATATACTATAATCAACATACCATTATTCATAAGAAAGAAAAACAAGTAACAATCTAAATGGTTATGAAAGGAGTAGCTGGATAAAGTATGATGTCTCTAAATAATAGAAAACTAGGCAGGCAGGGCTGGGTTGTAGTCAGTGGTAGAGCACTTGCCTGGCACATGTGAAGAACAGGGTTTGATTCTCAACACTGCATATATAAAGATCTGTTGACATCTAGAAAAATAATTTAAAAAAAAACACAAAAAAACTAGGCAGCCAGTAAAATGATCACCCATGATTGTGCACATCAGGTTCAACTCACAAATATATATATATATATATATATATATATATATATATAGAACACAGTAAAAATGACCACATAGCTTCATATAGAGAGACTGCTCTGTATTTAAAGTCTTATATATTTTCATATCCATCAATAAGTTTCCAAAAGTGAGTTAATGGTGGCCATTTCTTTGTGCAGGAGTTGAGGGCTTACTTTTGTCATTATGTTGTTTTATATGGGTAAAAATTTTTCTAATTATTATTAAAAAAATCACAACAAACTTTTAAGAGAAAGTAGTGCCTCTATATCACCAAAATTACTTCAAATCTTTTCATCTTCCTATTTAAGATGAAAGAATTCATTGAATGTTGCAGTAAATGTAATACAGGATCTCCTTCTCAGAACCACACTTTAAAATGACAAGTAATAGAAATTAAAATATTAGAGTCAAAGAGATAGGGAAAGACAAACATCATTATTCAAACAGCCCACATTATTGGCATCCACCGTACCATCCAGAGGTTCTATGAACTCAAACACTCCTAACACAATATCCCTTTTACACATTAAGGAAGCAGACTAAAATAATAATAATAATAATAATAATAATAATAATAATAATAATAAAAGAATTTTTAAAATGTAAAATCATAAAACACTTACCACAGTAAAAATATTTAATTATTTTCCTGTCTTACATTCTTTCATAGCACCTTTATTATGATCCTGAAAAAAAAAGTTTGGAGAAGTTAAATAGATTTTAAATGTATACATTTAATCTGATGTTTATTTCCTTTAGATTTCTGTTTTTCTGGAACTAGACAAAACAGTTCAAAAGTACTCATGGGAAAATAAGCAAGCAAGAATTCCTAGGAATATGAAAAGCAACAAGGGGAACCTAGTTTTAAAAGATATTAAAACTTATTTAAGAAAGAAAGGTGAAGGGGGGGCCAAAGCAGTTGGAAATCACATTTTCCCAAGCATGCCTGTGTCATTTTAACTTTTGAACCATAAGAACATGCTATCTACATTAAAATAATTTTTAAACATTAAAAAGAATACTTACAGAAAGAAGAGAAAGAGACACCCATAGATAAGACTTAAAACTAAGGTTTAAAGAGATTTTTTTGCTCTGAAATTAGATGCTGAAAAGCAATCTTGGTGTGGTCATTGCAAAAAAAAAAAAAATGTTTTTCTCCCCTTCAATCAAGTTAAAATAGTCTGTTTTTAAAAAGCTATTTGAATGAGTAAGAAATTTGGAAAGGGGAGAAAAATGTACAATGAGGACACTCTAGTATAATGGTTCTCCAAGTATGGTCCCTGTACCAGCAGCATCAGCATCATGTGATAACTTGTTAAAATTAAAATTCTCAGGCTCCCACCCAGACTACTGAATCAGAAACTTTGTACTAGTCCAGCAATCCTGGTAATACTCTCAAGTCTGAGAGTCACATACCTTGTCTGGTTCTTTCCACAGGTTCATCAGTCTGCATTTCAAACAAGCTCCAGGACAGAGAACCACACTTGGATAAGCAAAGCTGAAGTCCTCCAGGGGGAAAAAGGTATGTAACCTTCATATGGTTGAGTTTCCCATGAAACCTGTCCTCAGTATCAGATGGAAAAAGTCCTTATACAGGCTTCCTAGCCAAGAGATTTCATGGAGCTAGTTTCCTACATAAACTGTGTACACAGAGAATAAATGTTTTCAAATACATTCTTATAAAAACAATAACATCTATGAATCATTGAAATTCAACTTAAGGATGTCTCACTTGAAAAAAAATTATAAGTAGACCTACAAACTTTCAGAAATAGGGCAAAGAAACAAAAATAATCCATATTCCATAAATTCTGCTTGTGTTGTCTGAACAACTTAACCTCAAATGCATTAACTGCCCACCATGTGCTTTCATGGAAAAGCACCAAGAAGTTTGTTTCCCTCAAACCCTTTTCAAAAAAATTGTCCTCATGTTGATGAACACTGGTCTTCCATTTGTTTTACACAAGGAGAAAGATCTGTATAGGCATCTTCTGAATAAAAAATTCTAGTTTAGCAGAGCACAGTGCACATGCCCAGGAGGGCAAATTTGGAGCAGTGCTGGTAGCAGCAGTGGGATTCGGACCCAAGCTGGAGCCCTCCCTGAGCCCTAGAGCTGCCACGGACTCCCACCCCGGCTCCGCGATGGCGCTCACCCATCTGTTCCCAGCCCTGCCGCCCAGCCCCAGGACCCGCGCCCCGAGCTCTCCCTCCACACCCCCCACCCCGCGGCCCCTCACCTTCCTCTTCCCTGAGCCGCCTGCCACCAACCTGCTGGCCACCATGTCGGTGGAGCTGGAGGAGGCCCTGCCGCTCCGGGCGCGGAGGGGGCCATGGGGGGGGGGGCAGCGACACGTGGGGGGGAGCCACAAGGGCCGCAGTGGCCCCAAGCGTAGGAGCAGCCGCAAAAAGAACCAGCCGGGCAAGTACAGCCGGCTGGTGGTGGAAACCTCTGCAGGCTGGGCGAGCAGCGCCTTGTCGCTGGCGGGCATCTGTGCAGAGGCCAGGAAGGTGGCGGGGTTCGGCCAGCAGAACAGCAGCACCTACCTCAAGTACTTGGTGCAGAATGACTTGCTACTGCCGGTCGAGGGCACAGGCACTACTGGCTCCTTCAAGCTCCATCGCCAAAAGCTGGTGGCCAGTTAATGGTGCGCCCCTTTTTTCGCGCCTGCCGTGCACAAACCCAAGAAGCCGGCAGCAAGGGGCCACATGGACCCCTGACCCACCAAGGGCAGCACAGCCGACAAGCAGGCGCCCCCTAAGGCCTCTGCCACGGAGGACAAGGGCAGCAGCAGCAGCAAGTCCAAGAAGGTAGCGGCTGGGAGCAAGAAGTTGAAGAAAGCAGCCAAGGTGCCCAAGGGCTGCAAGTGAGCGCCCCGGCCCCACACGCGACAACGTGGAGGGCGACCAGGGACCGTCCCCGCTGGGCCACGACCTCACCTCCCCTCCCCCACGCGCCGCTCTGGCCTCCCCTCCCCCATAAGCTGCAGGGAGATTTTTGAAACAGCCCGGGTGATGCCCTCATTGGCTCTGGCCCTTAGCAATGGCCCTCGCCATGGTTACCGCCCCACTCGGGAGCCAATGGGCAGGGCCCTGGTTGGCCAGCTGGCTGCAGCGGCCAGGCCTGGCCCCCTCCCTCTCACCACCTCTGGGCTCCCTACAATTGCTCAGGGTGCAGGGCAGTGCAGGGCAGAGCAGCGCTCCCCTCCCCCCAAGCCACAATAAAACATTGTTGACCTTTGCAAAAAAAAAAAAAATTTAGACAGAAAGATTTAGAAGTGGAAAGTGGTGGCACATGCCTGTAAAGCAACTCTGGAGGCTGAGACAAGAGTCTCTCAAATTCAAAGCCTGCCTCAGGAATGGTGAGGCACTAAGCAACTCAGTGAGATCCTGTCTCTAAATAAAACATAAAATAGGGCTGGGGATGTGGCTCTGTGGCTGAGTGCCCCTGATTTCAATCCCTGGTACTCACCCCCCTCCAAAAAAAAGAAGGATATAGAAATCTGTAACTTCTTTTTGCAAGTCACCTTTGAATAGTTTTTGGTGCTAAAAATTAACCAATGTGCTGACATTTTTATATATTTCCTATTTCATTGTCTCTGAGATGCCATCACCTTTAAGACACTTAGAACATTCTTATTCAATGTACAACTCAGAAGAAAAATTGCCATGTGGTTACAACATGCCAATTTTAAGATTCCATCCATCTCAGATGTGCATCTTAAAAATCAATGAAATGCCTTAATTATAAACCACAGAATTGTATGGTAATTTTTTTTGTTTTTGTTTTTCTTCCAATTAACTCTTATGTCTCTCAAATGTAAAACTCCATAAAGGCATGCATGTTTTGTCCATTTGACAACATTTCCTCCATGCTTAGAAACTGGAACATTTTCAATATCTGTGTAACTCATTATTTATTTAGTTTACTTAGGAATATGTGAATATGAAAAAAAAAATAATGATTTTTAACAGTATTTTTAACAGTACTGACCTCTTTTACTCTGGGACATTTTACTTGCTCAAAATAAAAAAAAAAAGTAATTATTTTCAATGTGGCTGACTTCTCAGGTCAAAGAGATTCAATACATCTCTACACAGTTGAAAATATATTCTCTTCCGAGAAGTCTTTACTTACATGTTTGTTTCCACAGCACCTTTCAATAGTAATAAGCAACAAACACCTTACAAGGTTTTTAAAAAGTCAAAATAAATATCCTTTTTAGAGTTAAACAAGAAGAAATTTTTGTTACACTGTAGCTAGCTTGAGCTAAACGCTATTTTAATTTTTCTCTATCATAACTAGCAGTGTTTCAAATGAAAAGATAAGTTGTAATGAGTCATACCATGAGGTCTGGTGTATGTACATCTATCTACATTTTCCAAATTTGCTAATATGAACACCAGCAGGTAGAAAGGGTTATTTTAAAAGTGATTACAGCTGGGCATGGTGCTGCTTCCTTGTTAATCCCAACAATCTGGGAGGCTGAAGCAGGAGGATCCCAAGTTTGAGACTGCCATTTCAAGAAGGGGAGAAAGGGCTGGAAATCAGTGGTAGAGTGCCTCTGGGTTCAACCCCTAGTAAGTAACCCACCCCCCAAAGTGATGACATGAATGTATATTCTACTCAACTCAGAAATGCTATCACACTGCTGTCACTTCCCAACTCTGTTCTCACATCAAACTGCTAAAATGATATTAGTGTTTAGATGTCAACATTTCCAATGTGAGTTCCCATTAAACACAAACACAACCTTACCTTCCAAGATTCTAGAATAATTGACAAAGGTGTCACTGTTACCGCTGTTGACCACTGACGAGTCCTTGCTTCCCCAATGTTGAAGAATAATACCAGAGAAGCATACTGAGCAAGGTCAGAGTAGAAATTAGAAGTTTGTTAAAGGACAGCAGAAAAGATTTCTCCCGGAGGAAGAAGGGGACCCAAGAGGTGGAATATGTGGAAGTGCCATTGTTTCCCCTTTTTATAGTTCTTTCAGTGATGTACCCTAGGTTGGAAGGCCTGAGGGGTGGGACACAGGTGGGCCAAAGAAGTAATCTGGGCAGGAAGGACTTCATTACCACTTCTTTGGGATGGGCTATCTTCAAATCTTTTGGGGCTGTTCATTAACATTTCTTTGGGATGGACTTTGGGCCTAGGGCTTTTCTGGGGACTTCATTAACATTCCATGAGTTGTCCTGCATTTCCCAAAATTCATTCTCAACATGGCCTCCATTTTATATCTTACTCAATATTAGACCCGATTTACCTAACTACACTGACTATCTAACTTTAAATCTGGCTTCATCACTAACCAAGATCATGGCCTTTTTTATATGGCAGACACATCAGAAAAAATAATTTTCCCAGAAAGAAGTTGTTTGTCATCCCGTTCTTGTTAAAATAAAGTAGATAATGGATATGTTCTTAATAGTATTCTCAAAGAGGCAGAACAGTCCTTAAGGAAAATTTTTAGTTATCAAAGATATTGAGGGACACCTGTAAGGGTCCCACGAAACGTCGGAGAAAGAGACCACCAAGTGACCACTCATGCAATTGGCAGAAGGGGGATTTATTGAACCAGCATGCTGGGGCTCTGTACCCACTCAAGAAGGGAAAGCAGCCCAGAGCCCCGAGCAGGGGCTGAGCACTGCTTAAGTACACTTTTTGGGGAGGGCAGAGGGCTTTGTATACATCAGAACAAATCATCATGAGGCGCGGGAAAATTGAATAACAACTCCTAAACATGATTGGTTCATTCATTGGCGGGAACAGGTCAGGCTGGAGTGATAGGTCATTCCTAAGGAGAGTACACATTCAAACTGATTGGTTCAGGCCCTGCAAGGCCTGCGTGCAGCCACACAGACCCCTTCAGTTATTCAACAATCAGACAATCAGGGGAAATGTTTACTGGGCGGTTCTAAGCATTGTCTTAACAGCTACAGAAATTTAACTCAGACCTTGCAGCTTAGAAACTTTTACAACACCCGGTCTTTTACCCTTTAACTTTTACGCTTTAACTTCAATTTCTTTTACCCTTACAACCAATTTAGTGTTTGGGGGCATTTAGTGTTTGGGGGCCAGGATCTAGGCTTCACACAATGCTTGGGTGGGATGGATCTGTATCATCAAGATTCATCCTGCTCACAAGAATTTTGATCTTAAAATGGTTTAATCAAGCCCACTTTAAATGACCATTACTTTAAGACACAATATTTAAAAGTTTTTATAGGAAACTCCACCCCTTGCCTCTAAGTATGTAAGACAAAGTAGTAAGGGGTGCTTCAGGAGAATAAGGAAACTGTCTGAAAATTAGTGCTCATTTTTTCACACTACACATTAACTCAACATAAATTTAAAATTATAGTGAGTATACATAAACTAGTATATATGCTAACAGTATGAGATGGCACATAAATCTCACCCCAATGAATCCAAAAATTTCAATCTTGTTAATATTTTACTTGTTATTACTGGCAACTGAAGGGATCCATGGAAGGGTCATAGTACAACCTGTGGGTAGACTGAGACAGCCTGTAATTGACCTTGGCATGTTATCCCTAGTTCAATCTAGCCTCTCCTTTTTATTAGTTTAAATAAGGATGTCCCAACACTAAGTGTCCCAACACTAATTTCCATCTTCATCTCCCTCTTGGATTTTCTTGTTTGAACTAGATCCTAGTACTTTTTCTTTCTTTTTTTAACCAACTC